ACAAATGTGAAGTCAGTCAATTCTGCCATATAGATCAGAAACATACCGAACGAGTCATGGAAGGCATTTCAACACAGGTCACTGCAGAATTTTCTCAACAGCTGCCACTTTCGCTGACTCCATATTGAAGATTAAATGGCCGACCAAAAAAAAAATTAGCAACAAGGAACTCTTGCAACAAACCAACCAAGAGCCGATTGCTCAACAAATACGTAGGAGGAAATAGAGACGGATCGGATACACACAGAGGAGACCGTCGAATGACATCGCACTCAATGTAGGCTAACACTCAAGAGGAATCCCAATCGGAAGGGACAAGTGGGTCGTCCTAAGGTGATGTAGAGGATATTAGAGATTATGGACAATCATAGACCCAGCTGAAGAGGACCGCAGAAAATAGAACAAAATGGAGATGTGTTATTGAAGGCCCATGCTTCACTCGGAATCCAAGGGAATAATACATAAATAAATAAAAAGGTGTGGTTAATATGACATCCTATTAGTTCAATTCTACAAATGACTTGATTGAATCTATGCGCTCAGCTACAGTCCACTGATGCTTGAAGCAATGCAAATATCAAAAAAATAAACTATATCTAGACGTAAAGCCTAAACTGATATTTCTTTTCTTTCCAGTCGAATAGAGTGTAATAAAATATCAGATAAATTTCGTTTTGTTTTTTCTTCTTCATAAGATGAGTAAGCTTGTGTTACTGGTTCGTCATTTTCTTTCTACTTAACTTTTCAAAGAAAGTGAATTACTTACAGCTTAATTCATTTTTTTATGGTGATGAGTTTTTTAACGTTGACAGTTAAGAATAAATGAATGAATGAATATGTTTCTAATTTCTTTTAAATGTGAAACCGCGCTAACAGTAAAATCTTGGTTTCAGTTTTAAAAAATTTCAATATACCATAGTTACAAACCGTAAATTGGTTTAATCTACCGTTTAACGTTACTGTCTGTTTAAAAATTTCTCTACAGTTCACTTAAATCTTATAAGATTTTTTTTAACATTTATATTTTCTTCTTTTATTTAGATTGTCAAATAGAGGAATTCGCTCAAACTGACTACAGGATAGATAGTAACTAACTTCATGCTTCAATTGTCTCAGTGATGAGTAAAGCTTGTCAAGAAAGCTATGGTCTGCAACATCTTAAAATATAATTAAGTGAATCAAAACAAGATCCAGCGTTTTGTGTGTGTTGAGTAGTTAAGATCATGAAATGAAAAGTTTAAATATCTTTGATATCAACCACAAGTAGTATTAATTATACCGCCGAAATCATAAAGTTTAGCATTCTACGATACTCCTACTTTAGGAGACCTGCCCAAATTAAGTGTTCAAACTGATCACTGACTAATAAATGACAAGTATTTTAGAATAAGGACTTCCTTCTCAAGAGGAATTAAACCACTGACGTAAACAGTCTAATTCCGCATTGCATATTTAAATAATACAGTTATATAAACACTTAGGACTTGAATACTATTTGGTGCGAAGATTAATCAAAGGGTGCAGTTACACTTCACCATTTTCTCCTGGTTAACCCACAGACATATCACATTTGTATCCTGTATACTTTAGATCTGCCGTCCTAAAAATCAATTCAGTCACAATGCGTATCTGTTTTTCAATGCTGAAAGGAGGAGCCATTAACATATCATTAACAACAGCATATACTGTTTTATTCTCAAAGTGATGACGCATGAGCCAATAAATGTGCCGTATAACAAAAATTTATCAAACACCGTTATCATATTAACGAGCTGTGTTAAATTATTGGCGGAAATCCTGATAGATCAAAGCTCTAACGTTTGTTCACATACTATTCTGGTGAAGTAGGCTACAGACAAGTGAAACTACGATTGTCCGCACTGCTGGTTATTACCACTACCTATCGACTGATGATAGTGATTTGATAGTGAGTGTTGATCAAAAGCATATTTCCTAACCTCCTTAATGAAAAGATGGTATTCTACACACAAAAATGTCTAGCTGAATTATCCACACTGTCTTTGTTACTAAGTTTAACTATCGGAAGTTAGTATACATGGTTATTGGTACAAATAAGATTTCAACCTATTTGTAAGGCTTGTCTATGCGAAACGAGTTCGAAAACGTTTAAGATTAACTCATACATAAAAAACTGATATAAACAAAATGCTGTTAGACTATTCAAAAATATTAGGTAAATTTATCCAAATTCTGGTCCACTTATAATTCCGTATCTTTGATTAACATAGCAACATGTCATTTACTTTCAGTCAAAATTAAGGCTTACCTAAATTGGTATGAGACAATGTAGTTGAGATATTTGGTAACTGTACTGCTTGATGAACTGTACTCTCCCTACTTTTAATTTTAAAATGCTAAAGGAGAAACTAAAAGTACACTTTATGTATGCATTCTCACGACTGTGGTATGAGACTTGTAGATAAGTCACTCAAATGAAAAAGGATGATCAATGGTGATCTGGAACTTGGACACATTCATTCTAATGTAGTTGATAGCTTAACAGAGTGTGGTTTGACCTTCAATCATTAATGTTTTAAACAAGTAGCTAGGATATATAAACAAATTAAATCGTATTCAAATTATAGTGAACAGTAATCATGATTCAGCTTTGTATCTATCTGTCATTGTAGTGTGAAGAAAAGTGTAGTTATTTCACAGATTATGTACTTATTTTAGTTGATGTAAATGCCTCAGTGTTATAAAAATCAGTCGACCGATGAATCATAATTTAGTTGATTAGTTATTTATGTCAGTATTATAAAATTGTATAGAATCACATTTGCCAAATGAACCTGAAACGTTAAAAATTGTTAAAGCATTACTGATAACCAAAGAACACTCATATCGTTTCATGATATCAATGGGAACACCATCGCTCATGGAGAATGCAGATATATTCAGTTGACGAGTCCAAAAAAGGATAAAATGAGTCCTGGACCCCACTACAATTCACTACCAACCCAAAACAACTATGTTAATCCTTAGACACTGTCGAAGCATCTTTACTAGAGGCCAACATGACAACAGAAACTGAACATTTCTGTCCAACATAATCAGTCAACAGGAAATACGAAATTAACCTGAAAAGATCACTGTGTTTAAAAACCTTTTCATAAGTCCACTGAACTGAAGTCCAGTCGTTGCTCTAGGAGGCTGATTTTTCGTGCGCGCCCGAGAATACCTCCCAGCATGGCTAAGTAAAGGTGTAGTGAAAGTCATCAACCGTTCGATATTAGACCATTTGGTCCAAACCGGCCACAAAGCCAGAAGTGAAGAATCCGGTTGCCAAATAAATTGCCGAAAACATCGCAGTATCGCATGCTTCAAACAGCAGAGGCTATCCCAATTCGCATGAAACGACCAGTGCTTTATGTGCAAAAGAAACAAGTCCGTGGCCTTCAGTAGAGACTATAAATTCATTAATTTGTATTATTATCTTTACTAATTTTTCTGACATTCAGTTTATTGTTATATTGATGCTATTGAACTGTAATCCGTTGATATTATTATTATTGATTCAGTGTTATCTAAACATTAATTCTGTTAATAACACTAATTCATTTACTATAATGTATATATAACTGTACAGCCTGATGATGAAGTTATCGAAAAGAGTATTCTTTGTTCAGTAACCATTCTTTTGAAAACGTAAGTTCATCAAGAAAAGTGAGCAATCATAATATCTCCTGATACAGATTAGAATTTTTAAAAGTTTTTACGGTATATATCATCACTACATTAGCGAAAGAGTTATTACATTACTTTATAAGTAAACTTCACTTCACAACAGTTACTGGTTATTAAAATAATGAAATTGTAACAGTTATTCAATCCTGTAATGGTAAAATAAACTGAACATCGTAATGGTCCGAATCAACAGGAGAAATCTAAAGGCGCCATCTCTTTCACTTATCTAGAAAGTATCATTTCATTGATATTAGATGGGTGGAGGCAGTCGGCAGGAAGTCTTGGACCTAGGTTTCGTGCTACTAGGCACTCGTCAGCAAGGCGTATCTGCAACCTTGAAGGAACTCATGCCATTTCTGAGATTCGAACCCGCGACACCAAGCGCTGCAGTCAGAGACGTTACCACTAAGCTATTCGGGCTCGCGGTTGACCTCCTGTAGGACTGCATCGGATACTTTTTTTCGATCCTGCTTTTGATATCTTCATCTGTAATTTCCATAGTTGAAATGATACTATTTTGACTTGACACTAGTAACTAGTGTGATGTGCCTAGTCCTTCTTTTGGTGCAGACTAAATTCTATCAGTCAGTTTCACAATGTGTCCACATTACAACCTGACTGATAGACTTCAGTCTGCACCAGTACGAGGACTAGACACATCACACTAGTTACTAGTGTCAAGTCAAAATAGTATCATTTCAACTATGGGAATTACAGATGAAGATATCAAAAGCAGGATCGAAAAAGTATGACAGACCTTCATTGCTCTGTAACCAATGTGGAAATATCTTTCACTCATCATGAATAAAATTCGGATCTTCTTTTGTTATGTCATGTTTGTCCTTCTGTGTGTTTCAGAGACTTTGTGTCACTAAAAGCATCTTGAACATGCTAAAGACTTTAATCAGCCTCTGCTTTCACTCCATACTGAAGATCAGATGGCCAGAAAGGATTAGTAACAAGGATGAACCATCCCAACAAATATGCCACAGAAAATGAAAAGAGATCGGACACAAGCTCATGAGACCGCTGACTAAAATTACACACCGCAACCCTGATCGGAACTCTAGTTGGAAAAGAGTTGAATATCCTAGTGTGACATGGAGGAGGCCATTTGAGAAGTTGAGAGCTTATGCGCAGTCATAGAACTATCTAAAGGGGACTGTATAGGACAGGGTGAAATGGGGATGTGCCTTATGTCCCACTGGGAACCCAAGGGAACAATGATAATAATAATATTATTGTAAAAAAAAATTACTTATCAAATAAACGTTAGCAGATTAGCTATTTACCTGTGTGAACTTGTTCTAACTGTTCCAGTACTTCGTTGCTCTGCTCCGTTATAGTATAATTGATCATTTTTTGCTTCGAATTATTTAACATTGATAAAACCCATGAGTTAGCCTGCATATATGTTATAAAGAAAGAAAGCTAAATTAATTGTATATTTTACAAAGTTATAAAAAGAAACAAACTTAATTGAATGTTGATTAGCATGTATGGAAATCAGGAAGCTTCCTTTTAAACAAAATACAGGTTTCTAAGATAAACTATTGAAATAACAGGGCACACTGGAATTACATGTATATCTAAAAGTGATTGTGCTAAGTGACATATATTTGCTTTCAAGTAATCCAGTCTAGAATGTAATTCTACAAATTTCTTTATGCAGTTAAACTTGCTCTTCATAATTTTAGGTTGTAAAAGAAGAAAAAAAGTGTCATTTATGAAAGTTGGACATCTATGAATAGGCAAAGAATTTAGGTATTCACGGAAGATATTTATCCAGACAGGTAACAGAAACAGTCGGCTTTTTTAAAATGTCTATCGAATAAATGCTATGTATCTCATCTATCCATCTATTCCTTTTTTTACCATTTCCAGTAATTTTTCCATAAGTGTCTTGGAATAATTTATAAATTTAAAACTAGGGGACACTGGAGAGTCACTTTTTCCTACTTCGGGGGCCCTCATCAATGCGTATCATGACCCCGTCGCTACTTGAACCTAGGACCTTCAGGTTAAGAGGCCAACTCGTTGACTATCCTGTCAGTGAGTCATGAATCAGAGTGTTAAACATGAAAAGTGAGACATTGTCACTCTAGCAATACGATTTACTATTCATTTTTATGACGAAAGTAGTCCATAAAGAAAGTGATCATCAGTAATATCTTCAGATATAATTTAGAATTAGTTGTATTTTACCGGATATATCATAAAAAATTCTCTAATCCATACTATTTATAAATAAATTTCACTAGTTTTTTGTATGTGCATTATAATTCCTTTCAGATTATACGAGTAAAAATTTAAATATTCTCCACATTCAACCACTTAAAGGTTATACAGCTCCCTCTATTGAGGAATTATGAAATGAGGTAAAATGTTTCACCGGCAGTTAGCCACTTTTATGGATTGTTTGACTCACTCTGCTTACTGAAACCAGTAAATTCATTCAGATGTTGAATCTGTAAGGAGTGGATCAGATCGAGATCAAGTGTTTTCACCAATTGACAACAGTTAGGTAGTCAATTTCTGGACTATAAGGTTACCAGGGGAGCATTTCCGTGTTCGAACAATAGTTTGGAATCCAATGGTCTATTGTTTCTGTTGAATTGTTGAATTGCTATACTCAGTCACACCAGTCAGTTGCCATCGGTAAGTACCTGACCACAGATAACTGGCAATTACACAAGAAAGCTGTGGAATATGTTCGCAGCATGGTTGGTAATGGACTTACGCTGATGAAGGATCTTAAATTAGTAATTAATTCTCAATACTGATTTTATTTGATACTTGTATATGTTACCAAATCTACTCCGGTATATAATAATAAACTTTATCGTATAAAATGACCTGACTGAAGTGATATATCATTTTTCTTGGAGATTAAGACACTATTGTAATGCTTCTAAGTTGATGTCAATAATTTTGTTCTTGGAAATAATTTTGTTGGTTTTTTATACCCCCTGTTAACTTTTACTTCAATGAGGTATTATCCAGTAAGCACCGTTTGGTTAATAACTCGGTGATGATAGATAACACAATAATGTTGGTGTTGATCTTTTGACTTAAAAAGAGCTGAATCTCGTTTACACTCTGATTTTTTCCTTATGTCAATTTCCAAGGACGACGAAATCTCTGCTATTATTGAGACACACTTCAAAAATAGACATTAAACACTAAACACATTTGAATAAGAACGAATATTTCAGAGAAGAGTCTCTTTTCGGAGAATTCATTTACTTAGCTCCACAACTTTAGTTATTATATATAATTGTTTTTGCATGTGATAAAAATTAGTTGAGAGTACCGTTTACATCATCAAAATATTTCAAAACAGCAATGAACAATTAAAATTGTAACAGGTTTTCAATAGTTGCCACCTAGTCATCAAATTTGCAATTGAAGTAGAGACTGAACAGCCAATCCCATTTCTGGGTGATGGGATACTGATCAGATCAGTATACAGAAAGCCTACGTGGAACAGCCAGTTAACAAATTTCTACATCTGGGTAGCCACAAATTGTAAGTGAAACTTGATAATATCGCTTGCAAAGACAATCCGAAAAATCCACAGTCCTGAGTGGACAGAAGAAAAGATTGTTTTTTCGACAAAGACACTAACTGAAAATATCTAGCCTTCATGGTCCACAGACGAACACGTAAAACCGAAAACCGATAAAGAAAACCACATTTTTATGCCGAAGAGGATTCAGCATGTGAATGTGGCGTTCAAAGGTGACATTCTGGCCTACACTCTAAAGAAGAGAATATCGAACGCCCTGAAAAGAATGTTCCTGGCTTCTACATTATGATTGATATTCTCTTATGGCCCAATGTTCTCCAATAACTCTGAAGACAAACTATCGTATATGAGCAGTTCTATGCGTATCTACCAATTCAGTTACTCCTATGGAGCGAGATATATAGGTCATTCGACTCATGTTATCCTGCTTAGTAAAAATGGATCAATAATGAGTGCAATAAATGAACGTACACTTAACACTGATCATTCAATATTCAAGAAGGATTCATTCTAAGTTATCCACAGAGTTAAAAGAAGCCCCCCCCCCCCCCCGGGAACAGTATGCTCCCGTATATTTTGCATTGCCTTGATAATTTAGATGGAAAACCCAGATTTATGTGCACAGAACAAACTTCTCCTTCCCATCCTTCTACCTTGGATATAATTCCAAGTTTACTCATTATCAATATTTCACTAATAAATACTACTTTATGCACTTTCCGTATGATATATATCATCATTTTCTAAAATGACCTTCTGTTTACTCTTTTCAACTACTACACAATTTATTTTTGATATTTGTCTCCATGCCCTTCAATTAACAACCAGTTTCTTCTGGACGTCTTTCGAATTACGCAGACTTAGTCCTAACTTACCAATCTTTACCCTCTAGTTACGAATTTGACTACTCATAGCCACTTTGAAGTATTCTGATGATGTAGGCAATACTCTAGACTCATATTTAATACTGAGCTATGTACACACACCCAAGAATAATTATGTATAATTGAGGTTGCACAGTTAAGTGAATGAATTCTCTCAAAAGAGACTCTTCTTTGAACTCCTCGTTCTTATTTTTATGTCTAAATGAGTACTTTTCGTGAATTAAAAACATATTTCAAGAATAAAATGATATATAATTACATAAAAGTAAGCTGTAACGGTACACTTACATTTGTAAGTTGATTCAGATATTGTTCTCGAAATGTTTGCATAATACCTTGTAAATCAATTGAACTAGATTCAGATCCTTCAGTATCTTTGTTGAATGCATGTTCACCATCTATAGATCTACGTGTGAATTTACTTTCTGTTGCTATGTGTTTTAATAATGTCAAGTTATTTAATTGATTGTTGAATTGTTCTGGTCGGACAACTTTCTGACAATTATTAGACTGCATTCGATTTGAATTTAATAATGAATTCAAATAAATATCCATTGAATTTGAATTGTGCAATATTTTCTCACTAAATGTAACGAATTTAACGCCAAGATTTTAATTAATCAACGTTTAGAAATAATTGTTTATTTATTTTATTTATTCTTTAAAAAATTCCCCTTCTGTATTATTTTCAGCCTTACAAACTCGGTTGGCTACAAAACAATCCCCACCACCAACATCACACCCTCACTAAGTTCCTTAAAACCCCCCTCCCTTTTCTATCCTTTCAACTAATAGATTTTGGTTTTCACTTAGTGTAAATCATTCAACGTCTGCAGATTGAATTTCTTTTGTCAAAGTCTAAAGAATTTTAGCAGGTTAAAATGGATAAACCAATCAAATATTTTCTAGAAGATGAAAATTATTTCTTTCCCTGATTATCTTATTGGTTATAATTTATGTTGGATAATACCATCATCATCATCATAGGGATGACAGATAGCAAACGCCTTACTTTCTTCCCTTTACAAATATTAATTTATTTTCAATGAATGAATGAATTGTAGCAATATTGATTGAACATTTAAGAAAACTTTATTGTGTAAAGGAATTTATTCTCAAGTATTGGTTTATAGGGATTTTTTGGTTGATTGGTTACAGGATTTCATCCTGAGCTGACATCGGTTAGAGAACTATTGGAAAACGTGGGAGTACTAGACACTCCTAGTTCTCCTTGTTACCAAAAGGCCCTGGGTTCGAACTCTGGCGGGTCCCAAACTAGGCTCTCCGGTACTCCTAGGAATTGATTCTCTCTGTTAGTTAATACGATACAAACTAGTGAATTCTCTGTATAGTTTAGAGAATAAATAAAAAGTAATATTTGAGCTAAAGTGTAATTTCTTCTGTAACATTTTTGTCATAACCAGGATAGCAAGATTAAATTTCTATTTTCAATTGTCAGATTTTAGTCATGAACCAACATCAGTTAGAGAGACCATTGGGCAACTATTTCGTCCTTTCCCGGGGGCTCTTCGGCAGCACATATCCACGAAGCTGCCAGGGATCTAATAGTTGAAGGTAATTCAGAATCTCCACAAATCCTATAACCTGAATATCAGTCGCTAACTCACTGATGAATGGATTTCCTGAAGTTATAGTGGGAAGTCGGAACCAGTTGGATCCACCACATGAAGGGAGGAGTGGACTCTCACCGGAGGCACTGTCAAGGGAAGCGTTATATCAAGAGTTGACAAAGTAACAATCCACAGATTATTGAATTCCATCCCCATAGCTCGGGCTTGTAACCTGAAGTTTCCAAAGTTTGGGAGTCATGGAAACCCATTCAGTAGCCATTAGTGAGTTAGTGATTGATATTCAGGTTGTAGGGTTTGTGGTTATCTTGGATTAATTTCAACAGTTATAATCCTGGAGGGGTCGTGTGTGCTCGTTGTCGAACAGTCCCAGAATAGGATAAAATGGCTGTCCAATGCTCCCTGACTTTCACTGACCTCTCTAGCTGATGTTGGATCATGACACAAACCTAACAATTAAAATTAACCCAAGATCCCCACAAATCCTTCTGTGGTTTTAGAATATATCCTTAAAACATATGAGATTAAAAAATATATGTAAGGTGTTAACTTTAGTAATTTTACAGAATGGATTGCTCTGCAAGCACAGGTTATTACTGGAGTAATACTCATTACATATTATACAACTGTAATATTTCAATATCTTAACGATGACAATTTATCAAAAGGTAACTTCTATTGGTGCGTCGGTGGCACAGCGGTTAGGACGCTCACCAACCATGCACATGGTCCGGGGTTCGATCCCCGGCCAAAGACGCACTCCTTTACTCCGCTAGGCCAGAAACGATTCTGGTAAAGAGGAAAGGTTGGGCATGAAGGCTAGCAACCCCATCCACTGCTACAGAAACTTCAAGCCACTGGCCTGAAGCCCTATGTTCCACTGGGAACGTGAAGGAAAGAAGAAAAACTTCTACTGACTTATACGACTGAAAACTATTCAGGAGTCCACCTGAATCACCAATGCAATAAATTAATTAAACAAACGTACTTTAAGAATTCCGCCATACTACCAATTTTTATATTCTGAAAGCACTTAGGAGTTAGATCATTAGTGTACCAAATATAGACGTTTTCAGCGTGAATAGCGTTATCATCACTGTATTGACATTAACCGTAAAGTAACGTCGGCAGTTCACATTGATAGTGTAGAAGTTGTTTATTGGATAAATCACACACTGAAACAGTATTATTAACTGGATGACGTTTCAAACATAATTTTTTTTATAGATAAACATACCAAGTGATTTCACAATCGTAAAATAATTGTAAATAATACTGTTTCACTGTATCATATTAACACGAAATTACATGCTACTATAATGCCCAGGCTTAATACATGACAATAATGCATCATTTTTATGTTAATCTACTATTTGACTGAAAAGATGACTAATTACGCCCACATCATTAAAAAAAATAAATTATGAATCAAAATCATGAAAAACTGTTAGTTTGGCGTGCACTACTGACAAGATATATCAGTAGTGTATAAAGAGGTGCTCATTGCCATAAAAATATCAAATATCTGAGGGATAGATTTGACGTCAGAGAGAGAGAGAGAGAGAGAGGAAATGACTCAGAGTTGTGGCAAAACATGGGAGACAAGAGTAGAGGACAAAGAAACACACAACAAAGCGCAGAAGTAGAGCAACATGGAAAATATGTGCAAATGATGATTTGGAGCTAAGGTGTATATAGTTTCACTATATAGAGATACCAAATTCCCAACACTCATTCCGTTACCAAATCTCTAGTCTTGCCAACAAACTTTTCCGATGTTGTAGTCCATTTTTTTTATATAGTTGACGACATTATGCAGTAATACCAGGAATTTAAACAATTACGTATACATGGATACAAGTTTAATGGTGTCCTGTTGAAAATAATCATCAAAGTTATTTGATATTTAATGCTGCTATAATATATGGAAAATTCTTGATAAAGGCATTTAATTGGTTTGAATTTTAAGGATATTTCGCATTAAATGAGTTGGATATAATGTATTGATTTATAAGTAGTGGAGAATATGTGGACTAATCACTGAGGTTATTCATTCAGAGTTATGAATGAAGTGACATTCAATACTACTTTCAAGAGAAGTAATCATCTAATCCTCTTTGATTTCAGATGGCTGTTTAAAATTATTCATTATTTTTATTATTTGGGTTCCGAGGGGAACATAGACCTTCAACATCTTATGTCCATTTCATCCTGTTCCCTGAAGCCCTCTTTAGCTGGCTCCATGATCCCCCTTAAGCTTTCATCTCTTCTTTACACGATCTCCTCTATGTCACCCCTTCGTTCCATGATTCACTCAAGGACCTGGCGTGTGTTCTATCCATCTCCATTTTCTCCTACATATTTGTTGAGTAATAGGTTTTTAATTGGTTCATTTCTAGGGTTTCTTGTTGCTAACTCTTTCTAACCGGCTATCTGATATTCAAGATGAAGCCAGAGAAGGTAGCTTCTGATATAAGTCTTCAATAGCCTGTTGGAAATGCTTTTCATGGCGTGCAGTACAAGTTTCTATACCATATAAAAGAACTGACTGAACATTGACTGGCGTTCAAAATCAGAATTTTGTTGTTTATGCTGGGTTCAGAAGATTTCCAAACTGATTTCAGATTGATGAAGGTGTACCTTGCCTTTTCGGTTCCCGTTTTCACATCTTTATCCGAGCTGTCTCCTAAAGTTGAAACTATGCTCCCCTCTTTCAGATTTCTTCCGTTTACAGTGATTGGTGCTTGTTGTTGGTCTGTTATCTTCATCACCTCTGTCCTCTCTAAGTTTCCCTGAGGTTCTGTCTTCTCTGGTTTTTCAACCACTTTGTAGGCTTTTTACCTGTTATCTTCGAATTTATGTGATATTGGACATAAATCGTCCACGACGTCCAGATCTTCAACAGTCTTCTTATTGGTTCAAAATACTTCTGTCTCCTCATTCCTCACTCACGGTATGCCACACAACCCAGTCCACAACAATTATGAATATCATCAATGATAGTAGGAGCCTTGTCTTACTCCTTTCTTCACTTTAAAGACTTCGCTAAGTTTTCCGTTGTGAATCACTTGAAATATGGCATGGCTGTTTAGTTTCACATGAATTCATGACTCCATCTACCTTGAAATCAACCGAATCTTCACAAATCTAACAGGTCATTCACATCAAATATTGCTCTTTGTTATCATTAAATGACCTATTGATGCTTTACAACTTATACTGCATGTTGTATCTTATTTGAATATCTTCTTTATGCTACTATCAAGTTGTGCACAAAACTAAGAAATAGGACAATCTGAAGATCGAAATGGCAGGATTAAAAATACGAAGTCAAATAGCAGTCAGACTTTTCTAAAACTTTCTTTAAAAGCTAATGCTTGAAGCGGATGGAAGTTATGTAACCTTAACTATCCAATATTTCAAAATGAAATTACTTTAAAAATTTATTCTCCAGCAGAAAATGTTTAGCTTGGGTAACCAGTGTCATCAGAATAACACCCCGGATGGAATGAATACACTTAAAACAGTTGTGTCAGATTTTTAAGTTTTATACTCAACATTACAAACCACCTTAAATATTTTCAGTGGGATATGGTTGAACAGTACAGTTTCCCTGCGTAAGATACAACTAAACCAAGTGTAATTGAGAAACACAATTAACTGCTCAATAAAACCATAAGGAAAGGTTCACACTGATACAAGAGTAAAACGTGGTTACCATAACAGAGTCTGACTTCATTTATTTGGTATAGCACATGATACGGTATCATTTATTTGCATGACTTTTCGCTCACAATTTTAACAGAATCATTTTCAGTTCTTCTTGTCATTAATAAAAAGTACCAATGTATCGGTAAACCTTAAAAGCACTACTTCCACAGTTGAAGACTACTAAACTACATGTGAGTCCAAGAATTAAATGGCGCGTTTTCTGAAAGATTCCGCAATAAGTTTCTCAGAACTCTGCAAAGTATCCAGTATGGTTCAGCTAATAAAACCCCTAC